AGTGTGTAGTGTCCTGTGTGTAGTGTGAAGTGTACAGTGTGTAGTGTCCTGTGTGTAGTGTGCAGTGTGGCTGCAGACAGAGAATGACTGCCATCTCTCACCCAGGCTGGGTGCACTCCAGTGGCGGATGAAGTCGGTCCCTTCGCACATATAAATCCCCTTGAGATCATTTGCGATGAAAAGTACCCTATAACGCAAGAGGCCCCCTCACCAGTAATCACCATCATAACAAAGTATAACATTATTTCTCAGGTGCGGATTTTCGTAAACCAACTCTACGGCCCTGCGCACATCCTAGCCGGGGGAATGCCGGACTACCGCAGCGACCTCCTGGCGATCCGGCTGGCTTCCTTCAACCCCATCCTGGACCCCTGGGTCTACATCTTGTGCCGAAAAAACCTGCTGAGCAAGGGGTGCGAGAGACTCCGGAGGACGGTGGGGATCGCCAGGGAAGGACATGCCCGCAAAGAGGGCTGGATGAGCGGCCAGCAGACGCCCCCCTCGTACGTTAACAGCGTCTCCACGAGCTACGCGTCCCTGCGCACCCGGGACGAGCGGCGAGGCTATCCGACACAGGTCGACGCCAGGACTAAATCTTTCTCCGACTTCGCTACGCAGCAGACCTGGGACCTGGACACGTCCCGAACCGCGTTTCACCCGTTCGGCGCCCAGCAGGGCGGCGAGCTGGATTGCGAGCGAGGCGGGACTGTCCGCTCGGACCCGGCGCCGGCTAAGCCCATCCTGTGCGCCGTCCTGCGGGAACCCCCGCGCCCCCCGTCATCTCGCGACGGCCAGTTCGAAATAGTCACCAGCACCTTCAGCGCCCCCAACTCGTCCGCCTCCGAGAAGTGTATTTAGTGGGTTTTTTTCTTTTAAAAAGGCGACGTACACGAGCACGTGTCTATTTCTTTAGCAATTAGACGAGGAAAGAATAAACTCTTCTACGGGGCTCCTGATTACCAGCTCCAAAGGGGGAGAAAAAACTATTGGCGTTATCAGCCACTACTCTGTTTGTAATGGAGGGGTGCGTATTCATAAAGACGACAGAAGTGTTGAGAAAAAGTGCCCTTCAAATCTCACAATGCTGACCTACAAGCGCAGGTGTTTAATATAATCAGGTGCGTTTGTAACCCCCCACGCAGTTCCTTTACGTACAGAATTATGTTTATGGCGGCAAAAAGAAGGAACAGCATCATCCCGGAGCCCGAGCTCCGTGACCTGCATCGCGTCCTCAAACGCGACAATCCAATGACAATCGACAGCAGTTCTGTTTCAGGTTAAGGCAAAGACACCATGCTGTGGTGTTCGATACAGAAACGGGAGCAGCACCCGGTTATCAGGAATATCAAGTGATGCTGCAGTTTTGAAGCAGTGTTTTGTGCCTGCTGTAAACATTACAGCCAGAAGGGTCTGATGAGTAAGGACTTTTCCAAGTGCACTGCAATATTGCATTGCAAACCCTCTGGGTGTCAGTGCAACCTGAGACGCAGAAAGTGTTTTCCGCTGTGCTCTTGCAAGCAAGCCGGTAGGGGGTGAGACCGGAAGGTGGTGTCAAGTTAAATTTCAGTTCATTGCACTTCAGCTGCCGAAGAGGAGCAATTAAGTAATACCGTATCAGTTTTTACCCTGAGAGTTCATAGTACATGTGACAAAAGCACTTGTTATTTATGGTTGACATTTGCTAAGAGGCCACCAACAGTGTCCTGACGGCGCAGGATCTCGTGTCTGTAAAGTGCTCAGCAGCACGAAGGGTCAGCACGCAGAATAAGACCTGTAGGTCCTCAGGTTTAATGCACTCTGAACCTGGATACGCCTTATTTTTTTAACAATTCAAAGCCAAGTACAATAATGGGTGCACACGAATACTGCTCTACAAGTTATACGCCGGTTGCAGTAAAAGGAAAACGTGCATTGTCTGTAGGTCCTGCAAATGTTGGCGAACAAAGACATTTTTTAATCTGAAAACTACAATGGAAAGGAAAATAAAACTAACACAGTACACAGTTTGAAAATGTATTTCAACAAACCCTTTAGAAACAGTTTTTTTTTTAAATAAAAGCACAGGGTGCTTTTCCCTATTGTAGAGAATGACTGATCTTTACCCTAATTCTAGAGTGATAGTTTTATAGTGATAGTTTTATAGTGAGTGAGCTGCGGTATCTGTCTCGAGACATCACGCAGTACCGAAGTCTGCTTTGCCTGTGTTGCATGCTGGGAAGTACGTGAGTGTAAATACTGAATGATTTGTAATAACTCATTCTGCGCTGTAAATGGTTGTATAATGTTTTTGATATGAAAATGATTCATGTTTTTCATGTTCCAGAAGAAGAACCCCCCCCCCCCGCTGGAATGTATTTTTAAGTTGTAATTAAAACCAGGATTTGAAATTGTTAAGAAGTGTGGAAAAAGTGCAGACCTGACTCCTGGTGTGGATTTCCACAAGACCCTGAAAAGCCAGGCATCACACCTGTCGCCGAGCCTGGCCCTGCTGGGGAAGGTGTGGCACATTATGTTGGCTTTTAGGCTGGAGCTACCCTGAGAGGAATATATATAGAGTCCATAAATAAGTAATCATTCTATTCAGTACCTGCTCCAGGGAAGGCTCCTCGCGTGCTTTGCCAATGTGAATAATTGATGGAAGAGAGTGCTGGGCTGTGGCAGAGGGGCTCCAGTGGACTCAGGGCGGTGACCAGCTCAGTCTGTTACCGGGAGGAGGCCGGGCAGTCTGCTGCCGGGGTCTGGCGGGAGCAAAGGCCTGTGACCTCGGACGGTCTCCGAGCTGGGGACCGGCTTCCGCTGCAGGGGTGACGAAGCCGCGTTGAGGGATCTGCCCGGCAGCCGTCTGTGGCACAGTGTCAATTAGGCAAACAAGGGGGGAATCGATACTGTACATCAACGAGCAGGTGCACAGCTCATTCTGCACGAGCCATCAGCTGGAGCCTGAGGACGTGTTGTCTTCTGCACCAGCTGAACTCCCCAGGCCATCGCCCCACCAAGATCCTAGAGGGTCTCACTGCTCCTGAATGTCGTACTCTGAAACAGAGACCAAAAACATTAGACTTTTAAAACAGTACTCTAGATGCTGGTGGGTCCGATAAATTATCTTACAGTTCAAAGCACCGTCTATGAATATGTGAACATTGCCAGCACTGTCTTGAGTAGCCACTTAATAAAGCAATCCTTTCCCTGGTTATGAAAGGAAAGATGTTCAGTGGCCCTTCAGGGACCCAGGAGGGTTGGGCATAGTCAGCCAAGGGAGAGGATTGAAATAACAGCCAAGAACATGCGGATCTGAGAAGACAAATGTCTTTATCTGACAAGCTCAGGAGGCTGCAAGAAACTACCAAAACACATCGCACAAGCAGATTCATTTCCATCTTTCAACAAATGGGTTGAAAAGGTTCTGGATTTACCAGCAGTCACCAGCAACTGAGCAGTTCAGCACTTCAAAAGATTTTGTTTAGAAACTCTGGGATACTCATATATACTTCTGATTAATAGGTAGCCTTTCTTTAATGTAGCAAAAGCAAACAATTTGATGCCTTCCATGAAACAAAAATCCCGAATTATATCACACCTCCAAATGAAAGAGAGAGGAGACTGGTTGTGTCCACACAACCTTTCTGTCATTTTTAATTGCATTTTTACATATTGCGATGAATTCAATAAAAACAAGAAAGTAGAACTTTTAATGGGTGAGTGTGAGTGAGGGTAGCTGCCAGCTGGGGCTTCTAGACAGGATACATGTGTCTGTACAGGAAGGGCTGTTTGTGCCTGGCACTGCTGTGCTCTCCAGTTAATAGGGTCCCACTCTTTCTGGGTCACAGTTCCATCTAGCCCTGGAGATTCCACTGTGCTTCAACGTGCCACACCATATTACAACCACATTTTAAGCTCATACAGAAAATGTTTCCAAACAGCTGGAGAGATTTATTTTCCAAGAGAAAGCAACTGGTTTTGAAAGCAGCATTCTGTGTTGTAGCCATATGCTGAAGTAGAGAGATTATCAAACAACGCAAATTTCCCAACCAGCATCATTCTTTTCTAGACACTCACACGCATCTGTGTTTCGTCAGTCATTGCTTTGCTCATAGTTCCATCTGTTGGTTATTTGTCCATCCATAATCTGAGGACAAAGAAGTACCACAGCCTGGACAGGACAACAGTCTATCGCAGGGCGCACACAAAATGGCAACTTACTGGAGGGACATCAATTACCACTCACTCAGAGCAAACCCACACAAAATCACAGATAACATGCAAACACCACACGGAAAGCTCTCCAGGCCAGGATCAAACACAGGGTACAAGCGCTGTCAGGCTGTTAATAGGTTTTAATCCAAACATCATTATACCTCAACAGCAGATTCAGGCAAGACTTTTCTCAGGTAGCCACAGTAAGAAGACCTGCATTAGGACCGAATTTGCAAGACGTATTCATGAATCCAATTTGAAGTCCAAATAGCAGACCTGTGACAGGCTCTTAGATTTATCTGTTCCATATGTACACAGTAGTGAATGATGAGGCAATGGCAGCAGATCGAAGGACACAAGCAGCAACCAGAAGTCTGCAGGAAAAATAATCTTAGAAAGATGCCAGGACTGAGCCTCTCAAGTTAATGACAGCAAATCAGCAAATCATCTACAGATGCACAAGGGAAATCACCTTGAAATAGCTTCCAAACCATTGATTTATGTGCACGGTGACATTGCTTGTCAGGTCAATTGGAAACCGGCTTTCTACAACATGCCTGTCTGTACCTTGGTCATTTTGTGCTCCTGAAACTAGATGTGCTTCTACTGCAATATGAAGGCATTCGGCTTTTAAGTGGACTGACACTATAATGGTGAGAAAAAAGTAATTTGGGTCATCAATATCAGAGCTGGCAGAAGGCACTGTGAGCCCATCTTGAGCCATGCTAATAAATGTTCTAAAAAAAAAAGAAAAAAGGTTAACAGATGTTTTATTCTCTTTATGTACAGACCCTCACGTCTATTTTTAAAGACCCTTATTCTAACCCTTTAATTTTGCAAGATGCAATTGCGATTTTAAGGATTGTATATACGTCTTCAGGGACTTGAATTTTGTTTTGCATTTTGTTGTCAATTTTGGGGGTTAGGTGTTAGTTTTCAGGCTGCCATTGCTACAAAATTGTATTAAAATCCCCTACAAAAGTGCCCAGGATTTTGAATTTGTCAAAAATTGTGGAGTTAGACGTTGGGTGGCGCTGTCCTTCTGTGGTCACTTTACTGTCCACCCAGTGTTTGCTGACCCCTGCCTCTGCTTTTCTCTGTTCTTGGCCTACTTGCCGCCTTACGGGTCTGTTAAGGTTTGTTGTAGTTGCATGAGTCTGTAACTTCTGTTCTCTTTAGGCCACAATACAGTCACAATATCAGTGTTTTCAATTAAAATGACAAGACTCAAGCTGCAAAGCCTGCGTTTGGTTTTAACACCAGTGTCCTGGTCAGAAGCAATTTCAGTTTGCATTGCAATACTCATTACAGTTAAATGAGTACTGAACATTTGGATATTCAAGCAGCAATTACTCAGCAACTCAAATATACTTCATATTAATGTACTCTAAAATACTGGCATGTGAAATGCAAATTGGCTCGGTTTGGAAGGCGGGAAATAATTCTGTTCGCTCCAGCTCGGTCTCCATTACTAGAAGAACGAACCCGAACTCCAGCAGGCTGAACAAGCTTCAGCAGCGACCCCATCTGGAGATCTACAGCAGCGGCTCTCCCAGGACCTGACCCCCGCCAGGCCTCTCCTGGCTTTCCAGGAATGATCAGCAGACAGACTGCCCTCCGAGGCTTGTCAGCCATTCTGGAATTCACATGGTATCTCTGACAACATGTCTGAAGCAGTGTACTCAGGCATGGGCTGTTTTTACATTTTAAAATGGGCCCCCCACAGCAAAATACAGTAGCACAGTAGATTCTTGGAGTAGGTTAAGTGTGACCCTGCAATTTGAAGGGGATT